GTAAACTCAGCAAAATATTCTAAAAGAGTCCAGTAGCCCATAATAGCATTGGGTCTTCTGTTTAACTGGCAATGTCAGAAATTATTGACCTGAGTTCCCCACAGCTCAATATAACATCATGGCTTTACTTCCTATATTTCATCTTCATACTTTTCTACTGGATGGTTAAGACCAAGGTAAAGCAGGACGTGTGCAACAAGGTAGTAACCCCTCTTTTAATCTGTATTTGACATTTATAGCTTCTGCATATAAGTGATGTTATATGATATTTTTATTCTCTGTTTGGCTTATTTCATTTAGCATATCATCATTCATGTTTATCCATGTTGTTGCAAATGGCAGGATTTCCTTTACAGAGTCTGAGAAATATGCTACTATATGCATATCTGTATGTAATGTGAAATATTTATGAATATGCATATGGGAGTGTATATATAAATGGAAATATAAAAATTTGTCTGATATATATATATGTATCAGTTTATCTTTTTCTTTTTGTGATGCTAGGGATTACACTTAAGATCTTACACTGAGCTGCATCTGCAGGCCTTTATTTTTTATTTTGAGAAACATTCCCACTATAATGCAAAGTTATACAGGCTGGGTATAAATTTATAATCCTACCTCACCCTCTTGAGTGCTGTTTTGATTTACATTTTTCTAATGATTGTGAGCACCTTTCAAAAATACTCTTTCTGCTTGTAAAATATCTTTCTGTGCTCTTCGCCCACTTTTAATCTTTCTTACACTATTAAGTTGTAGGATATCAAACTCCTATTAAAGGATTTGCAGATGAATTTCTCCCATTCCATTGCTTCATTTTTCATTTTGTTTTCCTTTGCTATGAAGAAAGGACAGATACTGAAATGTAACTCTAAGTGGATTTTGCTTTCATACAAGTAGCTTTTTCATAAGTGCTTGATTAAAAATCTACAAACTCCTAGTCAGGATATGAAATATTCTTTCTTTAATGTCATCTAAAGCAAATTCTTTCATTCCACTTACTGAAGCAGCTTTAGTAACTTCTCTATTTATGCTGCTCATGCTATTTCTTTTGACTGGCACAGGCTTTCCCTTCTTGTGTTGCTCACTTTTCACACTGCATCTTAAATTATTCATGATGCTCATTCTTCACTTTGCAATTTCAGTTTCATCTTACTAGGCAAAAATTCTGAAACTAATATGCCTAAAGTAACCTCTTTTCATTCTTCACATTCCATAGTTGTTTTTTCAAAGCACTTAACAGAATATAGGGTATATTTAGTCTTTTTTTTTTTTTTGGTTTATTTTTGGTTTTTGAGACAGAATCTCCCTATGTAGCGCAGGCTGGTCTAGAAGTCGTGGCAGTCCTGCCTTAGTCTCCTGAGCGTTGGAATTCCAGGCAAGTGCCACCATGCTGGGCTAAGTCTTTTCTTCTGTCTATCCTTGTAATATTCATGAGGATATGTCTTAATGAAATCTATTAGAATGTCAGAAACATCTAGATGCATAAGCAATAGTTGTATATTTAAAAACCAACCATGTATGGTAAGTCTGTTGATTGTACCAAAACTTTAGATAAAGCACCAGTGTATAAGGTAGCTTGCCCTTTTAATTGAGATACCACTTTTTTAAATTTCAATTCTTGAAATAATTTGAAATTACAGAATTATTTTTCTGTGCTTTTGATCAGACATGTCACCCAATTAAAAATGATGGGATAGTGGGATTAATACATAGGAAAAGAGGATTATGACAACTTGCTATTGATTGCCTTTTTTTTTTAAACAGATGGGCATCATGAAGTTGTAGCTGTGGGCACAGGTGAATACAATTGCAGCCAGTGCATTAAGCCAAATGGAAGAGTGCTACACGACACTCATGGTGTTGTTACAGCAAGAAGGTCTCTCCTTAGGTGGGGTAACAAGTGTATTTAATGCCATAAAATAATAATCCTTCCAATCCAAAGTAACCACATGTAAATGATTTTATTTACAAATGGAAATGTACTGTTCCTTGACTCAAGGATATCATAGCCTCGTATTTATCCAATTCATCCAATGTTTTCATGGTACCTTTGGAAACATTGTAGTAACTGCAGTGTCCAATGTGTGAATAATAATGCCTTCCATTATTAACTACCTGTAAACTAAGTTCTAGGAGTCCTACAGTTTGTTCAAAATGCAGATACCATATATATATATATTTTTTTTTTACTGGCTGAAGTTATTGGAAAGTATAGCTTTAGATTTACACCAAGCAAACTCGATCATATTGCACTTCTGAATTAGATGTAGTTATCCAAAGACAACATTAGAAGCACTCAAGCTACAATTTGTGATGTCCTGGGCATGGCTTATCTATAGCACAGTGTCAGTAAGATAGTTTTTAGACTGACAGACATCAAAGAGAAAAAAGGGGCTCAAGTAAGCATACCTAGTTACTGTCTCCATGCTCATCAAGTCACTCTGCCTTCTGCAAGAGGAGTGAAAAGTAATTAGGAGAAAAACTAGGAATGTTAGTCTTTGGCAGTCCTTCCAAATGAAAATATAAACTGTGGGAAGTGGATGTTACCTGCTATGCTATCCACTTGCTTTGGGTCTGTTTATCCATTGAGTTTACTTTTCAACATACTTTTTCTTAAACAAATGTGTAAGTGCAAATTGGAATATGATAATAAATTTCATCAAGGGCTGGCCAAATAGCTCAGCGGATTAAAGTGCCTGTAAGCAGGCACAGGAGCCAGGGGTTTGATCCTGGGGCCTGCCGTAATGGCCCCACACCCAGGGCATGCTGAGATGGCAATTGAGACTGGGCGTGGTGGCACATACCTGTAATCCCAGCTCTTGGGAGGCTGTAAACAGGAGGATCACTACAAGTCTGATCTAGTAGTGAGACCCTGAAAACCCTGTAGACCCTTCCCTAAATATAAAAAATAAAAATAAATAAATTTCATCATCCAGCATGAACAATCATCAGTATTCTGCTTTTTGTTTAATCTTTATATTGCCACTTTTTGTTAATGTTTTCTTTGTTGGAGCATTTAAAAACAAGTTTTCACATTTTATCTGAAAAGTATGAGTGTGTATCTCTTAAGAATTCTGTACTCTTTTAAAAAGTTATTGGTGGGATTTGTACATGTATTCATTTTTTCCCTATCCTTCTTCATACTGATGGAATTATGTGAATTCTTTAAAGTTACCTCCTTTATACCCTGTTTCTTCCAGCGTTTAACACATCTATATATTGGTACTTAATTTATTATGTATTTTTGTTGATGAGAGTGAGTAGAATAGATCTTTTTTTTTTGTATATTAGGGAAGGGTCTACAGGGTGTTCAGGGTCTCACTACTAGATCAGACTCGTAGTGATCCTCCTGTTTGCAGCTTCCCAAGAGTTGAGATTATAGGCATGCACCACCATGCCCAGTCTCAGTTGCTGTCTCAGCATGCCCTGGGGGCAGGCTGACATGGCAGGCCCAGGGATCAAACCAGGCCCTTTCGCCTGCTTGCAAGCACTTTAATCTGCTGAGCTATTTGGCCGACCCTAGAATACATCTTAAGGCCATGTTTTCTTTAATAAGCAAACCAGCATTTGTCCTGGAATTGATTAGTTTCAGTCTTCAAGAAATCTGCTTCATTTCTTAATACAATGTGTGTTTATTATTTTAGTTCCATACACTGTGTTCTTTTTCAAAACCACTAAGTAGCTGGAGCTACTGTTGATGATGATGGGATTGTTGTTGAAATATATTATTGGCAGTTCTTTTGCCTGGATGAGGAGGAGGCACAAAATTAAAGCTAAAGTTAGCTCTATACCTGGGAGGTTAGGAGTACAACTACCTGAGGAAGAAAGGATGAACCAGTAGAGAAATGGGTCTTTTATGAGATTGATACTCAAAGGCTCACATATGAAATAAAAGTAGAATATAAGTCAAGCAGTGGTATCTTAAAACAGGTCTAAAGGGCAAATTGGTCTATAATTGAGGACTTCATGAAAATGTGATTATTTATTAAATAAACACATAATTTCATGAGTTTTCATCATTATTACATTTTTTACATATGCATAGACATTGCTCATGGGTATGAAGCTCATTAAGATACATTTCAATAGGTTTTATTAATTGCATTATAATATTTATTTTAGGTACTTTTATAGACAGCTTCTACTCTTCTATAGCAAAAATCCTATCATGATGGAAAAATCAATATTTTGTATAGAACCAGCCTCTGATCTCCTTACTCTGAAACAAGATATCAACATTTACCTCTATATGAACCAGTTGCCTAAAGGATCAGCCCAGATTAAGTCACAGTTGTAAGTATTATAGAAGTTGTTTTTAAGGGAAACACATTGATCATTGCATACATTCTAAATCCCTATAGCAAATAGAACAAAAAAAAATTAGATGTATCCAAATTATCCCTTTAGTTGTGAATTATTATTCATAGTCTGTAGGGCACCACAAATCTTTCACCCTTGCACTCTACTCAACCTGTTGACTACTTCTTAAAAATTGTACTGTACCACTTCCTCCTTCTATGTTATTGCAAGTGTTCTCTTTTATATTGTCAAGACTTCACAAACTTTAGGAAAGTATTGCTATATGCACTATTCATATTTATGATCAAAACTTCATTATTTAGAAGAATAGATAGAATCATGTAATTTAAAATTCAAACAATATAGAGAAGCCCCAAGAAGAAAGTAAAATTTATCCCTAATCTGACCATTTAGAGAGAACCATGGGTATTTGATTAAATTCTGTCTAATGGGGGCTTGGGAGATGGCTCAGTGGAATAAGCACTTGCCTGGAAAGCACAGGGGCCTGAGTTCAATCCCTGGTTCTGCAAAAAAAAAAGAAAGCTTTAACGTGTACTGTAACGTCATGTACCTCGGTAGTGTCCCAAATTTTCTGATCAAGAAGATTATGGGGCCAAAGAGGAAAGTGATTGATGATGTAGAGTGT